GCCTATAATCTATACCATTCACCATAGCTTTAATCTGGTATGGCCGGCAATTGGATGAGGCGTGTGACTGGGTGTGTGTTAGACCTCTCTCCCACCTTAATTTGAGCTGTTCTTACTCTGCTGTCTACTCCAGGGAATACCCTTGACACCTGGCCCACCGGCCAGAGGGCTCTAGGCAATTGGGGGGTCAATAAACAGGACGATTGTGCCAACCTGGAGGTCAGATTAATTATCTTGCCACTTCTGGTGGGTCTGAAGGCTAGGTATAGAACCTGATGAAGCGCTTCCAGAATTGGTCAGCAAGGACTTGATATGCCGCCATTTGCGTCGACTGATCAGTTCAGATTCCGGGTATATCACAGGAGGAAGTGATGAATCTGGCCGCCCCATCAGAAGGGAGTTCGGTGTGATGGGGTCCAGATCGGAAATATTAGATGAAGTGTAGCCCATTGGCTTGGAATTTAAAATCCCTTCGATCTCCACCAGCATAGTGTACAGCACTTCGAAGGTGACAGACTGGGCGCCAAGTGTTGTCATCAAGGCCTGTTTTAGGGAACGAATCTCTCTTTCCGAGCTGCCACCAAAGTGTGGAGAATTAGGGGGATTGAAGTGGAATTGTATTTGCTGGCTTGCCAGTTGCTCTTGCAGTTCTGGAACAATAGCTGCGTATGCTTCTTTCAGTTCTCTCTCCCCTCCTTTGAAGTTGGTCCCTTGATCCGATAATAGCTCGAATGGCTTGCGATGAATCGTCTGAGAGCCATGAGGAATGAATCAGAGTCGAGACTATGAAGGAAGTCAATGTAGACTGCCCGGGTGGTGAGACATTTGAACAGGATGCCCCATTTCTTATCGTTTCTGCGACCTACTTTAACAGGACCAAAGCAATCCATTCCTGTTGAGTAGAAGGCGGGCTTGGATAAACGTAATCTGGCTGGAGGGAGGTCTGCCATTTTTGCTACCTCAGGGTTTTTTTTTCCACTTCTGGCAGTCCACACAAGCCCTCTGACACTGTTTGATGGCCTCTCTGCCTCGAAGAATCCAATATTTACGCCGAAGCTCGGCAAAGACTCTTTTTTTAGGGCCTGGATGGTGGAGTTTAATGTCGTAACTCTGTATGAGCAGTTTAGAGACTGGGTTTAATATATTTAAACACCATGTTTAAATGTTACCCCAACCCACATTCATTTTGGGCTTAATCACTGTTATTATTAGGGGAAATCTATTTTAGTGTATACAAATTCACTTATGCATGGCTAACATAGGCTAGGCTATTATAAGTGTTTATTTCATAAATATGAATGGACCTCGCATCTGCCGGACACTAGCCAGTAGGCTACTTTTTTGGCCTATTTTGTTTAGCTGGCAGACTCTCAAAATCTGTGGAAAAGCACTGGACAGCGCGGAGAGAACGCACAATGCATTTGCTTTGGAAGTTTATTTATTTATTAAATTTTTTGGGAAGTTTAGTTGGCAGAGAAAATGACACACACCGTTTTGCTTGACATCAATTGATACTCAATATTAATGAAATAAATAGCCTAAATGTAATGTCAGAGAATGCACAAAGTGCATCCTTTTGAGATATAAATTTGAAATAAAAATAAAACACATGGCCTACATCATAAAACTCAGAATGTATTTTAATATGTCTGATAGTCAGTCTGAATAACAGTTTGTACATTAGGCCTATTATACCCAAGCAGTGGCGGTTCTAGCCCATTTCAACTGGGGGGGCCAAGCTGGGGCCAGTTGTACTGTTAGAGGGGCCAGTTACATTTAGACCTTATTGTTGTCATATCATTTTCTGCACTGCTGCAGGCATTAACAGGCAAAATACCGTGTTTATAATCATTCAACAATGTATTTGCATTTCCATTATATTTTTACATTTGCATTACATATTCAGTATTAGTCACAGTAACTGTAATAGACATGATGTCCTTTTTTCTCTTCATTTTGAGAACTATAGAGCAAAAGCAATGGGGACCAAGAAGCTTATTAATTCATTTACTGAAAATAACTGACTTGATATGTCTAACCGTTTACACTTTACAGGGTTCCTGCACACTTTTTAAAGTCAAATTTAAGGCTTTTTAAGACCTAAAGAAATCAAAATTAATACCGTAGGGGTGTGCAATATTGACAAAAATATATTTCAATATTTTCAACATTTTGTTAATAATTAGATAATATTTTACTGATTGTGTTTTTGTGCTGGTGCCATGGCTGGTTTAGGCCTGTTGTTGACAGCTGAATCACGAAGATATTAATATTTTTCATATTCTATGCAGTAGTCAGTTCACAGCAGTGACAGAAATACATTTTTTAATTAAGAGGCAATATTTGCCGCCTTAAATTGATTTCCAGGGGCATTTTCACCTATATATGGACATTTTTTCTAAACTTATTTAGAGTTATGCATCACCTTTTATGTCAAATACTAACATTCAAATTATACAGTAATTATACTTATTTATACAATAATACTTAATTATGCAATAATTATACAGTACCACTGTTACCAGTCAAATTAATTAATTCAATCAAAATCCATCTTTGCAGTGCAGAGGTGACACAGAAGTGGCATTAATATATTTACACTCCATTTACAATTGCATAAATAAAGCTATGAGATTTTTTTTAAATCAATATTTAAAAATAAAATTATTTCTATTATTTCTAATTAAAGGATACTTTAAATATGAAACTAAAACCGCCAGTAGGCGGCGGCAAGTCCCTGTAAGAGGGATTCATTCATTCAAACGAATTGTTCAAACGGCTGATTTATTCGGGAAAGCAGCAAGTGATTCGTTAAAAACGCGGATTTCAGTCAATAAATCATCGCTGTGTTGCATTGAGACTCACTACTACGGTTTCATTATGAAATTCTAGTCGGCGAAATAAAGGGAAAACAAACAATATTGACAATATTGTGTCTAAAAAGTAACTCCCAATGTTAACTTATTGTTAATTTAACTGTTGTATAACATAAATATCACAGTTGCAATTGTGCACGGGAAAACGGCACTCTTGCTGATGTGATATTCTAATATAAGAACATAATATGATATAAATATAAGACAAAAACTAATTTGGGGACATAGCCTACCTATGAACTGCACACAGCAGTGAAAGGACGATAGACAAATGCTATGTCAGCTCACAGTGCCTCGTACATAGTTAAAACAATGATTACAATATCATAATAGACAATACACATCGCACACGCCATACGCACATAAAGAATGAACTTACAACTGAACTGACATTTACCAACTTTCTTCTTCTCTCCTCTCTCGCGTGCAGGAGACAGGCGTTATTCTGCCGCGATTCCCGCGAATGTGATGCGAATTGTCACGTGAAAATGCAAATCCACAAAGATAGAAAAAAAAATAATAATACGCATACGATAGCAAAAAACAGTTTTGTAAAAATTATTTCAAACTCCACATTTAGGGGGGCCACAAGGGGGGCCAAGCTTTTTGTCACAGGGGCACGGGCCCCCCTGGCCCCCCCTCTAGAACCGCCACTGTACCCAAGTCAATGCATTATTCTTTCCTTTTTGTATTAGTGTTTAAAATATTTAATTTAATACTAATTATATTGATTTGTATCTTAATTTCTTTTTTTAACTTACATGAACATGCCATGTCATTTAGCCTACCCTGCCAAACCCAGCTGATGCAAAGCGTAGGTGAATTTATATCTACACAGAAGAAAATCCTGTCTAGGCTCTTCCTCGGTACGGTTTGTGTCGAGCCATTAGTTGTTAAATGAGAATATGTATATTTTTAGTACGTGTTGCAATAAACGCGTTAAGAATCCGTGCAACTGCAGCAGCGGAGGACTATTAGAATATTAGAAATCTAATATTCAATCTGTTTTCTCATTTTTCTACTCTTAATATTAAATCAAAAAACGACTGAACGAGCGAAACACGGATCGATTCTCTTGAACCACCACCACGTTTGCGCCAGAAAACTACTGCAGTGAGTGCAGCCAAAATGCTCCGTTCGACTTTTCTGAGACCCTCTACTCTTCCCTGTGGATGACCTGTGGCTGTGACACACCTTCTGTAGCCTACGATCTGAATTTTCCGCGTTTTGAATTTTAAAAAAACTGAATTTGAAGTTCCGAATTTCTTCTTCATCTTGAAAACTTGAATCTATAGGCTATATTTTTTTAAACTGGATATTTGCAGTCTAAAAATTCAGAACAACAACAAAAAAAAATACATCAATAAAATTCAACCATAAACACATTTCAATTCGTTAAATTTCAAATGTTCAATATTCGTTTAAAGAAATCAAATTCAGAACTATTTAAAATTCCACACAATATTCAACATTGTTAGATTACTCTTGTCAATAATTCAAATTTACACAATTCAAATTCAAATCATTTTGTGATAGTATAAACTCCATAGTGGGGGTGGTGTCAAAATGAGAGTCTGTCAGTCAAGTCTGAAGCAAGAGACACACCAGGTAATGACATCTTATAGCCTACTAAAAATAAACGGGAATTTCCCGACTTTTCAGCGCTTTGTTAGACTGTTTTGTATCATATTAATTATTTCAAATGCATTCTGTTTTATTGACCACAATAATATTGTTGATAACTGTTGAGGGGCATTTTTGATTAATTTTGAAAAAAGGCAAAGCCCCAATTTGTCCTTTCCTCTCTGCCTTGGGCAGAGGTTCGTTCGTTCTACTAATGAGTTGACCTAATAAACCAGATGGACACAATATCAACCAAAACTGGGTAAGAAACTAAATATTAGTTCAAACTTTTCTTCAAAGTTTTCACAGCGCGTTCTTTCCGACTTCAACATCGTATCACATAAAGAGGCTGTGGATATGACTTTCATGATCATTAATAGTGAATAACTGCTTTCCAAAGAACTTTGTAATGTAGGCTGAGGAAAATAGGAAGCGACCGCGAGAGGTGTGACTTCATAGGCAATAAACAGAGCTGCCGAGCTGAAGGCGTGAACTGAGAGCAGAGCAAGCATCACATTCACCGGGAATAGCCAAGGTAGTGCCTAAACAAGGTAGGTTAAGCGATAAATGTAGGTTTGTGCTCATTTAGAATGTTTATATTGAGAGCGAGCGACGCGACAACAGAACGCAAAAGACATGTAGCCTAATAGACATCTAGATGATAGATCGTGTTGGCACCACGCGCAGAAACCGGGCTACTTTATACTTCATCTTCTGCTAAGCCAAACTAAGATCAGATACAAAACAAAAATGTTATCGTTTTACATATCAGTCATGTAGGCCTAAAACTCAAGAGTTTGTTGGAGTTTAAATAGCTATCTAGCTATCGATAATGTCCACTAAACGACTCTGAATCTTGCGAAACATGTCTGTTAATGTTGTAAGAAGACAAAAATCCCGAAGATATATGACGAGGACTTTTGACACATGTAATGTTGGAAAAGCCCCCTTTATGTTTTATAGGCTATGCAATAAAAATGTCTCATTGCGCAATTAACTGAATGAACAATGTACCTAGGCCTATTATGTATAGCAAACGAACAATGTATTATTATTAGTGCAACGCAATTATTGCAATATAATGTAGCTAAATAAGTAATGTTATGTGTTGTGCTGGGCTAGTTGTCACAGGCGTTATCTGTGAATTCTTTCCCACAAACTAAAATGACAATATAATAATTTTTATAGATGTTTTGTAAATTAGTGAACAATAGAAACACACTAGCATATATTTAGGGTAAATGTCTACTTTATAATGTTATCACAGTTTTCTTTGGAGAAATGTATGTTTAAATGTATATTTTATTTGCATTATTTATTTATTTTTTACACTTTTTCATAACTGTTTTACTGTTGCTGAAAAGCATAAGGCTTTTTAATGGAAGGTTACACTGACAGTTTACCCCATATAGTGTGACAACAACATGCTTTGTGGTGCAACAGCATGCCCCCTTTTGCATGTTACAAATGGTCTTTAAGGTCTACTGTCTATATGTTTTAGTCTATAATATATTTAAGAATAATAAACTGAATAACTGAAACAACTAAGAATACTGCCTGAAAAGTACCTGACTTTAATCTGACTGTAAGTCCTGTGAAAAACATGTTGATGTAATATGTGCTCTTGTGGTTTTCAGAAAATGAAGCTTCACCAATTCATTTCCTGCTTTCAGCAAGAGATTGCAGATAAATATGCAATGAGGAGAAAGAAAGCCCTAATGCTTTAGCTCCCAGAACATAATGATGATAATGAAATAACACTTTTGATACAATGAATATTTTCAACTCACAGTGTGCGAGATAAAATAGGCGTTACCACTCTTAATGCCGCTTTCCCACATGTTTATAGTTCATTAAAACTCATAAAAGTAGGCTACATGTGTCATTTTCACCTATCCCTGTAATATGAAGACAACTCTAAAGCCTGAAGTATACTTTGGGTTTTACACGTACGTTAGGCTAAACATACAGTGTGATATAAATATTAGCATTGCATACTGTGTGATCCACAACTCTTGTTTAAAAGAGTAAACTGGTCATAAGTAACTTCTGGAAAAACAACAGACACTGGACAAGGATGAGACTGATGGTAGTGGACAAAAAAATAAATAAAAAATAAATGTCTAGAGCAAGGGTGTCAAACTCAGTTCCTTGAGGGTCACTGTCCAGCACAGTTTAGCTTCAACCCTAATTAAACACACCTGAATCAGCAAATAAAGGTCTTCAGGATTACTAGAAACTTCCAGGCAGGTGTTTTGGAGCTGTTTGGAGCAGAGTTTGACACATGAGGTCCTAAAAATAAGCTTTTTTTAAAAAGGAAAAAAAGTCTTAGATGACACGGCATTCTAAAAATGTGGTCCTTCAGTTAATTTGAAAGGTGAAAATGTAAATATTATGGTTCTGTGAAAATATCAAAACATTGCGCAACCAATGCGTGAGTTTGGGGTGGTATTATCAGTTTGGCCATGGTTCAGGTGTTTGGGAAACCTTTCTGAAATGTGGTTTCAATGTGGTGGAAAAATGACACACCTTTAATGCAACATTTACCATTAATTAACTATGAAGTCTTAAGCGTTTGATGAATATAATCGAACCTTTTATCCTAAATACAGAGGGGAATAGCTCCTTCCCTATATCCAGAGTAGTTGTCAGCCAATATCGGTGTTTAGATGACCACTTTGAAGGATATTCGAAGGAATCAAAATTTAATTGTATGCTGTCTTATCTCTCTGTTTTCTTTTTTAGATACACATAAGATGACGACTCCTGGAAATAACAGCTTTGAGAATCAAACAGACAAATTCATTGACTCAGAGTTTCGTTACACTCTATTTCCTATATTCTACGGTGTTGTTTTTGTCTTGGGGTTGCTGGCCAACTGCTATGCTCTTTATGTGCTGCACTATATGCGGGACTCTAAAGCTATGAATGAGATTCGAATCTACATGACCAACCTGACTGTTGCAGACCTGCTGTTCGTGTCCGCTCTACCGTTCTGGATTGGCTACTACGTGCATAACGGTGACTGGAAGTACTCAGATCCCCTCTGTCGTATCACAGGCACGTTTTTCTTCATTAACACGTACTGCTCTATTCTCTTCCTTACTGCCATCAGCATTAACCGTTACTGGGCTGTTACCAGGCCACTGGTGGCCGCCTCTTCTGACTGCTGGAGACGTGGAGCAATTGTCTCAGCGGCCATCTGGGTCGTCACTCTTGTGGCATCGGTTAAATACCTCACTGAACCTGGAATCCAAAAGAATGAGAACATTTCTCGCTGTTTCGAGGGTTATCAAGATATGAATAATACATCTGGTATATATGCAGTGGCCGTCACCCACTTCATCATTATTGGCTTGTTCTTTCTTGTTTTCACAATGGTGATTGTCTGCAACATATTGATCGCTCGAGCTCTTCTGTCTCAACCCATCAGTCAGCCTCAAGCCAGCACGGGAAAGCGTCCAGGCGGTACCAAGCGCAGAGCTTTGAGGTTGTTGTGTGCTGTCGTGGGCGTCTTTGTGATCTGTTTCCTGCCCCATCACGTGGTGCAGGGTCCCTGGACATTGTCCGTGCTTTACCTGAATGATTGGAGCATGGAGACTCGCCAAAGCTTAAACGATGCTCACCAGATCACCCTCATGCTTATGGGGATCAACTGCCTTCTGGACCCACTGGTGTATTGCTTCGCCACCACAAAGTTCCGCAAGTACATCCAGGGGCATTTCACAAAGATCAAGAGAAACAAACACTGCTCACGCAACACATTAAGCACAGGAGTGTCCCTGAAGAGCAGACATCAGAGTGAATTCTGAACGCTGCCGAAGAGCACATGCTGATATTTGGTGTTCATTTTAATCAGTTAAGAGTCTTATTCCGAATTGTTCATATTTGAGCAGAATTTAATTTCAATTCAAAATTAGGTTCTGTTTGGACTTTTAAAGGGTTTCTCCCAAAAATGAAAATTATGCTATCATTTCCTCATCCTCAAGTCGTTCCGAACCTGTATGACTTTCTTTCTTCTGTGGAACACAAAATAAGACATTTTGAAATATGCCTCATTGTTTTGAAAGTCAGTGGAATCCAGTGTTGTTTTGTTGTAACATTGTTTAAAAAAAAAAAAAAGTAAGCTGGGTAAATAATAACAGAATTTTCATTTTTGTGGGAACTATCCCTTTAATGCAATCAAAGGATTGGCATTTGAACTTAGTTGTTCACCTTTCAATTGCTGCCACTTCCGAGCAACTTTTTCAAACAATAGAGTATTTCAAGCATGATTATTCAACGTGTATTGATAAATGCTTCATACACTGAAACATTAAGCTTTTATATTGTGATTCCTATATTGTCATTATTATCTCTTAAAGAGATAATCCACCCCAAAATTAAAAGTTTGTCACCATTTACTTACCCTGATGTCAAAACTTTTATGCCTTTTCTTTTTTCTGAGGAACACAAAAGAAGATAATTTGAAAGTCAGTGGCATTCTAGCAACATTCAACCCCATTGACTGAAACATACTCAACATATCTTCTTTAATGTTCCACAGAAGAAAGAAAGTCATACAGGTTTGTAACAACATGAGGGTGAGTAAATGATGACAAAACGATATCTTTAAATGTCTGCCCTTGTGTAGGTGGAACTGACCTATATATATGTGTGTCATTTAAAGAATTCTCATTCTTGTTATCATATAAGGAGGCAGTCTTCTGTAGAACGAAGAAGACGAATGAGTAAAGAGGATGCTGGTGGTTAATCTTACCGTAGTGAGAGGTGATAATAATAGATTGTGTTTCTTTCACACAAACAGTCACTGGAAAATTATTGGTGAATTAATGTTTAGAGATCATGTGTGAATGGGACCTTTTCAAAAATACCGGTAATCAGTTCTGGCTTTTTTTTTTGGTTGGCCTATGAGAAGTTGTAACATTCTGTAAATTACCAGTATGATACTGTGTGTGAACTAAGAATATGATTGCTGGTATGAGCAAGTATGAGGGCAGGATGTGTGAGAAGTCTGCTTTGGGGCAACCATAAAGCTCTGTTGAGCATTTTAATTGTTTTTCTATGTAAACATGTGCTAGACGGACATCTGACCATTTGCTCCGTGCCTCGTGCTTGAGAACCTGCCTTCATTTCCCCTTATCAGTGCTGCGGCTCTGCAGAACATTTTTGGGCTAACTGCAGTATGGGGTGGTCCAGGGATGGGCAACTTCAGTCCGGAGGGCCATTGTCCTACAGAGTTTATTTTCAACCCTAATCAAACACCTGAACAAGCTAATCAAGGTCTTCAGGATTATTAGAAAGTTACAGGCAGGTGATTTTTTTCAGGGTTGGAGCTAAACTCTAGGACAGTGGCCCTCCAGGACCAACGTTGCCCATCCCTGCCCTATAGTAACTAGTTTTTACTATTTAATTGTACAGTAATGTACCAGGTTTAATGTCTTGAAAGGGGCTAATGCTGATGAAAGAAGTTATCTGTTTCCTGTGAAGTTTCACTGTCCATTTTGTAAAGGGAGAAGTTGTGGTGCTGCTAAACAGTCTAGATTATTTGTAATATAGATTGCACAAAAAGGTGGTCAATTTGTGTCTGATGTCACTATGACAACAAATCAGCCTTACTTGCTGTGAAGTACAGTAGATCTATGAGGAGCAGTCCTGTGGGTTAGGTTTTGTGCCCACATTTAGCGATTTTAGACAATGTTACGCTTAACAAAATGTGTTAACATTAGAGTTCAATAGTATATTCCTAAATTAACATTAACCTAGACTAATCAATACTGTAAAACAAAAAAATCATTGTTTATGATTCCTAATGCATTAACTACTGTTTAACAATTAGCCTACCTTTTGTTCTATAATAAAATGGCTGTATGAAATAATGAAACAATTTTTTTTCACAAAAGAAGTTTAGTAATAATTATTCCATTTATAAAATGTAGGTTTGTTGACTTGTTGACTTTGTTCTTAATTGTAAATCTATGAACTTCTGAAGATCGTTTAATCCATTGGCATTTTATAGTTATTTATTTAACAGGATGCTATATATATATATATATATATATATACTCTGTATATATATATATATATATATATATGTTCTTATATGTTAGATGGTATGTTTTAAATGTTTGGTTTACATTTAATGTATTGCAAAAACAGACTTTTATGAAAATATGTTTAAATTTCCAGTAATGTCTTGCCATTCATATGAGCTGAGTTCTATGGTGGGATTATAGACATTTATTTGATGCTCAGTGATGTTCACCATTGTTTCCTTGTGGTATTAACACATTTTAAAATAGCAGAATGCATGACATCTGCTTCCGAAGAATCTTTCTTAGTAATAAACTTCTGCATTAAGCAGGAAGTTTCGCAAGAAAGTGTAATGTACGCTCCCAAAGATAGTTCATCCAAAAATTAAAGTTCTTATTTATCTTAACTTTGTTGCAAACCAGTATGACTTTCTTCTGTGACACATGAAGGAGATTTTATTCAGAAGGTTATAGGGAACTGTATATAGTTATAGTTATAGTGAGTGAAAGACAGTTGTGAAAGTATCTTGGTCCCACATTCTAACAACTGATCAAGTACTGCAACTGTTGTAATATTTATTGAAATGATCATTGATGTTTGCACTTGATGCGGTTTACATGATGTAAAGGCTTAATCTGTGCTGAAAAGGCAAAATACAATTAATAAACTGTGTTTTCGCTCTTCTGTGTATTCTATACAAAAAAGACTATGCATTTTGTTTTTAAAGATATTTATGATGATATATTCATTGTTATTCTGCTTATTACGTCTCTAGGGGAAAAAAAACACACAATATGGGTGCTTCTCAATACTCAGTTTGATGCTTCCTCTTTTTCTCGCTCCTCCGTTGCCCAACCTGTGACCCGGAAACCAAAGTTAGCCATCTTGAAGGACCATCTCACATATTTCAATAGAGCATCTTGCTTTATTATTATTTATTATGAATTTGTTTAAATGTATGTTTATTTATGAAATTCATAATAAATAATAATAAAGCTAGATACAATGTTGCCTTTCAACAACAAGAGGGCAGATCCATTGAAGTTGAACTCTTCATCAGTGCAAGAGAGTAGGGTAGTGGGGTAAAAAGGTGTTTGGTCAGTTCTTCATTTAATGTATGAAGAAGGGAGTCTGTTAACTTTTAGTGGCTTTATACTAAATAGAATTTACAATTTGAACATAAACAATTTGAGTGCTTTAAATGCCATTCTGAAAAGTTTTTTTATAACATTAGTACAAAACACTGTCAACATGCTCATGTCAACAAGATGGATCTTGTGAACTCCCATCCATTCTCTTCAATGGTAATAAATAAGATTTCGTTCTTGTTTCAATTTCTTTATTATATCCAACAATTCTATATCATAACAGTATTTTGCAGGCTTATGATAAGCCATTTGTAAAAAAAAAAAAAAAGTCACACTAATTTTAATGTATGCTTTCCTTTGCAGTTAAAAAAAACATCTTTCATCAGGGCATCTTGATTTATTATTATTTATTATGAATTTCTTAAATAACCAAAGCAGAGACGGGAGGAAAGGAAACTGGGATCCACAAATAAGAAGCACCCACTGACCCACAGATTTCAGCAGTCACGCGTGCCTGTCTTTGTTCAAGTTCCCATCAGTATTGCCTGCATCAGCGCCCCCCAGCGTTAAATTAAGATATTAATCAGAATAGTGATCCCACTGCATTGGGTTAGTCTTTAATTCTAAAATGTGAATTTTAATTATGAGCACAATCACAACTGAAACGGAATACCTTAACTCCTAATTACATTTCCATGGACAAAATTATATTATTTATTTAATTTAGATATTAAAAGTACATAGTAGCCTACATTATTTGAAGGTCATCATGACTAAAATGATAGTTCAACCACAAATGAATTATGTTCTGTGAAAAATGAAATACTATACTTTGAATATATTATATTGTATAATATTGTCTGAAAGTTAGTGGAGTCCAATGTTTGTTAAGACCTTACTGACTTTCATTGTATGTCACTGTAAACAAATAAATTGTTGGGTCAACTAATTAACCCTTAAAGTGCTATGGACAGAATCTGTGGCCTGTATTGATTAACAGAGAACATTTTGAGCCACAACTCAAAAAAGAACAACAAAAAAAAGTTTATAATAATATTCATTCAATTTAATTTTAACATTTTAAAATAAAGATATTTTGAAGAACGTTTGTAACTTTGGCACCATTGACTTCCATAGTATTTTTTTTTCTACTATGGAAGTCAATGGTGCCAAACAACTGTTTGGTTCCAATCGTTCTTCAAAATATCTTACTTTGTGTTCAGCAGAAGAAAGAAACTCATACAGGTTTGCAACAACTTGAGGGTGAGTAAATGATGACAGAATTTTCATTTTTGGGTGGAGTATCCCTTTAAACTGTTCCGTGTGTGTGTGTGTGTGTGTGTGTGTGTGTGTGTGTGTGTGTGTGTGTGTGTGTGTGTGTGTGTGTGAGAGAGAGTGTGAGTGTGAGTGTGTGTTCAGACTCCTTGGAGAGCAAATGTGAAAAAGACTAATGTATATATAACATCATATAAGCTCTGTTTAAAACAAAGCTGTTAGATACATGAGATTGTAGCAAGGCATGTAAACTTTTCTAAAACATTTACAATGCAATGAAAGTCTTAATAATAAACCTAAAATAGTTTAAGGGGTTAGTTCACCCAAAAATGAAAATTCCGTCATGAATTACTCACCCTCATGTCGTTCCAAACCCAAAATGAACACTTTGAAGGGCCAGAAAGGTAATGAAAAACATTGTTAAAATAGTCCATGTGTAAAAAAATGCAATTCATCCTGTGTTGAAATCTGCAGACATAGTTATGACCTGTTATATGTTGAGCGTGCATCTTCCATCTTCCTCTGCTTGTAAACACAGCCCTGCGTTTCCGGGTCATATGTCAGAACGCCAGCTCCTGCGTCATCACCACACATGCATGTGTCGTGGTACTCTCGTGAATGCGCGTCGGAGACTGATACGGAAGAAGAAATTGTTGAATAAAGTTATTTTGTTTTTTTTTGGCGCACAAAAAGTATTCTCGTCGCTTCATAAAATTAAGGTTAAACCACTGTAGTCACATGGACAATTTTAACGATGTCTTTCCTACCTTTCTGGGTCTTCAAAGTGTTAATTAAATAGCTGTCAATGGCCATTGGATTTCATCAAACATATCTTAATTTGTGTTCCGAAGATGAAAGAAGGTCTTACGGGTTTGGAACGACATGAGGTTGAATAATTTATGACATAGTTTTCATTTTTGGGTGAACTAATCCTTTAACATATGTGGGTTTTACAATTCTCTCCCCATCAGCAGAGGGAGCCCTCACCCAACTTATAGGACTCTGAAACACTCATCTAGTTCAATTGTCCTCACCTGTTAGCAATTTATTCTCATATATTTTCACACAATAGAGCATTATGCTGCATTTGGAACAATGGAATAATTTACTTACCAATGTTATGCCTGTTACTAAAATTTGCTAACTAATTGTGTTATTTAGGATTTTTCTAGCAATAAACATACAAACTAAAAATATATTTACTTAAATGATTTACTCAAATGTGGCATGAAATTAAAATTCACCCGATCTAAATGCATGTTATATATCTTATTGTGAACAATCATCTGTCAAGGTTTCTTTTTTTCTTTAAAATATAAAATAATTAAAATAATTAGTGAAAAAATCGAGTTAAAAGAGCAATATTGTGAAATAGTATTACAATTTCAAATAACTGTTTTCTTTTTTTAATAAAATATATGTTATTCCTGATGGCAAAGCTGAATTTTCAGCAGCCTTCAGTCTTCTGTGTCACTGTCACGTTATGTTGGTGTTTGGGTTTAATTTTCAAAGACTTTTAGATTGTTATCATTATTTCCAGATTACTTCATGTTTTTGATTTGTTTGTAATGGTGATTAGTTTACAGCTGTTTTGTATTTCGTTTAATTTTCTTTATTTAAGGCCTTCAGTTCCCTTTCGTTGTCACTCCGAGTTCCGTCGGATGACGACGAATGGGGTTTCGCTTAGAAAGCCAATCGACTTCGAATACTTCAAAACGAGCCAATGGCAAAGAAATGCCATGGGTCTGCGGAATTTGCATAGCGTAGCACCGCCCCACCTCGTG